CAAAACAAACACATATCAATGAAACAGAAGAGAGAGCCCAGAAATAAGTCCACGCACTTATGGTCAGTTACTCTACAACAAAGGAGGCAAGAATATACAATGGAGAAAAGACAATCTCTTTAATAAGTGATGCTGGGAAAACTGGAGAGTTATATGTAAGAGAATGGAATTAGAACATTTTCTAACACCATATAAAAAATAAACTCAAAATTGACTCATTTACTTTTCCACCTTGTCCTAATTTCATCTTAAAATTTAGGCTTTTCAGTAGCCTATTTATAACAACTCTGTCTTCCACACCCGTTCAGCACTAATGGAGACTCATAGGAGGCAAGGAAGTGGCATCAAAATATTAACAATTTTATAACATACATCAGTAGAATAAGGCTTTAGATCTTCAGTTTAAAGGACTTGTTTATATTTTGCCCCTGATTTAGGCAAGCTTGCTCACCCAGTCTCTAGCATAGACAAATGCAAACCTCCATGGGAGGGTCTGGCTACTGACCACACCAAATGGACAGATCAGAATGCACGATTCATTCAGACAGGGAGATTGACTAGTGTGAGGGATCAGATCCTAAGATATAAAAACCTGTAACTTACTCATACCAGACACAAAAACTGCAGCTTTACCTGTTCAGATGAATGAGAGTTAGAAAAAAAAGTTAAGAATTTTAGTCTAAATGTCCCTCTACTTGAGTAATAAGAAGTGGAGAATAATTGTACCCCTCCTCCAAGTCTTCTCTCTTCCTTTCCTTACAATTATTTCTGTTTGTTTATTTCCCTGTTTGTTCTTTGGGTGCATGAAGATAGCATTGGTTGGATAAAGAAATCTGTGCCTTGATCGTTTAACATAAAAGCACTCAACATGTATATACATATGCACAATTGTCTAATTTCCACAGGCGTTTATTTCTCCAAAGGAATCAGGAAAAAAAATCCCAGATCAATATCAAACCTCTTTTTTATTGGCCGATATGCTTTTGATTCCTTATCTCAAATATAGAAATGTTAAATTCAAAATTCTCATCTCTAATTATCCCACAAAAGAATTAATCCATCTTTGTGCAATCTTGTTCATTTCTCAGCACTTCCATACAACTGCTTTGGAAATGACTTAAAGTTATTTTGAAAGATAAAGTATGTCTATGGTATTTTTTTTTCAAAGAAAAGTAAATAGATCGTTCACTGTTGCTGAGAAACAGGATTCAGGGAAAAAGTGATATAAGACCTGACTTACATTTTTGGGTTAATTTGCCAGTTCATTAAAACATAAACCCCCACTGTCAGTGGAGTCTTGTGAGAGGGTCGTGTGGAATGCTCAGCGAACTGGTGTCCTCCCATTTGTACTGTTCTGTTTTCTTAATCTCTCTACATCTACACGTGTGACCATTTGGAAGTGGCTGGCCAAATGGTTTGGAATGTTCTGCGGGAGCAAGATAATTCTCACTACCCTGGCATCACCTTGTAATTTTCTTCTACTTACTTTCTTTTGGGGATATTAATACCTCATATTTTTAAATGAATTATGATTTAACTAAATTGAAATCTGAGTGTGAGTTCTTTGTACCTGTTACCTTGGTTCTGAATCTAATGAAACTGTTTGAGGTTGATGTGGGAAAATTGGACTTTTTTCATCAAGTCCACTGAGCTCTGCCTCACAACCTGGTCTGTAGGGAGAGAGACAGAATTTGAAATTCCATCCGCTTTTTTTCCTGTCCTCACCTCACCTCTCCTCTCTCTCCTTTTCTTCCCTCTACTCTTCTCTCTCTCTCTCACCCCCCATAAATACTGGGTAGAATATTCTTCCATCACCATCTACCTTATAATTATTTAAAAATTTCTCAATGATTCTGGCCACTGGCTCTAACTCAGTTGTCAGTCTTAGTTCAGAGTTACATTGTTTTTGTTGTATTTATTTTCTGTGAAATGCATTTTTGAGTTTGTAATGGGGAAGACGACATAAAACTAACTAGGAATTGTTACTCAGTGCCTCAAATATATTTTAGTTATAGCAGCTTACTTTTTCCAATTTCTAAGTTTATGTTCTGGCTTTACTTTGTTGTGCCTCCCACGCTGTCTCCTCACAGCATAGGCTTGCTAACATTATTGCATTTAAATTTTAATTTCAATGCTCTGAGATCCAAACAGTTTGGCTGTTTATGTAGCTCATATTCCTTATCTATAAAATGAGGATAATTATAGCTATGCCATAGTTTTGAAGTAGAAGTTCAACAAAATATTGTATATGAAGTGTAATTATAATATCTACATATATATGTTTAAAATGGTTGTTTAAGTAAACTAATTTCTTGATCTATTTACTAGTGTTTTGGTATGATTTAAATGAGAATACCTGAGTAAAATTTACCAAATCCAAAAGTATAACTTCAGGAGAAAGAAACTTTTCTGATTACCAACTTATAATTTTTATTACACAGAAACACTTTTATAATATAACATTTTTAAAATCAGGCTTTGCTTCAGGACGTAAAAACTATATTGCAAAAATACATGAAGTGATTAATATATTTCACCATTATTTGACTATATATAACATGATATTAAAATATATTCTTCATATTAGCAGATAAGACTAATATTAATCAGTGTTCTAAGATCTCTACTTATCTTTTGCATTCATTTCCTGATCCAATTTTATTACTCCAGTTTTTTTCTTGTATTATTCCCTTATTTTCTTCACTTCTCATTCAGTATTGCTATTTCCAAATATCACATTTATTATTTCTCTTTTTCTTTTTTTCCTATATTTCCAGAAATCTAAATAAGGTACTCCTTTCTTCATTGTCCCTGATCATTAACTGTTTCTTTTTCTACATTAAAGTTAAAGAAAGCAGTCAGCCCAGACATCCTTGAATGTCAGAGTATATAGATTTTCTTCAAGTTTCTTTTTCTCTACTTATAAAGTCTTTCCTCAAATAGCTGTTAAATATTGTCCTGTGTACCTTTCAAAATCCTCCTTGAAATCAACTTAAAAGGTACATGACAGATTATGATAAGCTTCAGTAATTATTTCTACTCCTGCTTCATTTGCATTTTCTCAGGTATGCTCATAGGAGTCAAAATAATTTCCCAGGCACCAGATTGCCAGATATAAATTGGCAGTCAGTAACTTTTCCCTAAAGATATGCAAATTTCACATAAATATGGAATAAAAATCTGACAAAGACCCCTGGAATTCAGCACATTAAGGGAAATCTTTCTTGCTTCTCTGTAACACAAAGGACAGTTTGCTAATATGCCTTCCCCAATCTTTGGAGGCTCTCTAGGCTACAGGCCTTCTTTATTCTTTACTATATACTCCCTCACAGTGCCTGACCAAAGTGTGTTAATCATCAAGAGATTACTTTCAAGTTGTATATTCTAACCAGTCCATTCTCTGTGTCCATTCCACAAGGTCTAATTAAAGTTAAACCATGTGGGAAATAGCATTGTTTCCTGACTGTTTTGGATTTTTTCCAATCAAATTATAGGTCTCAGTAAAAATTCTGTGATTATTTTGTAAATCTTAGAGCATAATATTGACAGGTATTTTCTCCTGACTTCATGGTTATTGAATTTCACATTTATTCTCTTCCTTTCTATATTTTTATCTTTATGCTAAATACAGAATTCTCTATCGATTTATCTCACACTCAAAATATCTTTCTCTCTGGAAAACAATTTGATCACTCCTTCACGGATCTGCTTGGTCTTCACTCCATAGACAATTGGATTCAAGGTAGGAGGCAGCAACAGGTAGAGGTTGGCTATTAAAATGTGGACATGGTGAGGTATGCTGTGTCCCCCAAAGCGGTGAGTGAAGAAATTGAAGAAGGCTGGGACATAGGTGATGACAATAGCACATATGTGTGATGTACAGGTGCTGAAAGCTTTGCGACGAGCATCTGCAGATGACAGATTTACTACAGCGTGGATAATCATGGTGTAAGACATGGAGATACAGAACATATCAAACCCTCCAATCAATGTGGCAGCTATGAGGCCATAGATAGCGTTAATCTTGATGTTGCCACAGGATAATTTGGCCAGAGACATATGGTCACAATAGGTGTGTTGAATGAGGTTGCCGAAGGGCAGACGCTTGATCAGGAAAATGAATGGTATCATGAGCAACACACTTCGAGTCAAGGTGGCAAGCCCAACCTTGGTAATTGTGGTGTTGGTGAGGATGGTAGAATAGCGTAGAGGGTAGCAGATGGCCACGTAGCGATCCAGAGCCATAAGCATGAGCACCCCAGACTCCATGCCTGTCAGCATGTGGATAAAAAACATCTGCACAAGGCAGGCATTGAAGCCAATCTTTCTGAGACTGAGCCAAAAGATACACAGCATATTGGGGACAAAGGAAGTACACCCACTAAGATCTATAACGGATAGCAAGGCTAGGAAGTAGTACATGGGCCGGTGCAGGGCCTCCTCATGGCTGATGATGTACATGAGCCCACAGTTCCCTGTGACTGCAGTGACATACATGAAGCAGAATGGCAGAGAGATCCAGATGTGTGCAGCTTCCAGCCCAGGAATCCCATTGAGGATGAGATATCTTGGTGTCAGGCTGGAGCTATTGGGTCCAAGCATGATGGTCAGTTGCAAAGCATGTTGTTTTTGATGTCAATAAATATGTCCTATACAAGAAGGTAGTAGTGAGATTGTTTTCAGTATGAGACAAAAGATGAACAAGTATTTGTGCAATAAAAATGACAAATTTAGGGCAAAAATCATCTTTTTGTGTCCAAACTCTGTTATTTGATCCTACTGAGTAGTTCTGAATGTGTTACTGAATCAAAAGAATGCAAACACAATGCAAACATTATAACAAGGACTGGCCTTGCTTGGTTTTTTACTGTAAATTCTGTCTATATATGCCCTCCTATTCCCAGGCCCTTCACTAGACCTTGCTTTTGTCCCATTGACCACTTTCCAAATGATGGACTGTATTTTAACAAAACTGATTCTCCTACCTCCTCATATAATTTCCCTTCTTCCAAGAAGCCCTATCAGATGTGTCCACTGGATTATAGTTGATTGAATTACATGAGAACTTATTTATTGCACACATACTTGTATATTATGAGCTGAGAACAGTCTGTCTACAAGTCTGGATGTTGTATGTCAGAATTATCAGGGGCAAAATATTTGACAGGCCAAAAATTACATAGTAAGTTTCAATTTGCAAAGCACAACCATAAACATTTTTCATTATATTGCCAGTTGTTTCTTCTTGATAAACATGAAATATTTTAGTTTTTACATTTAACCAATGGCATTTTTAAGCTCTAATTAATTAGCATGGATTCTACTGATTCTCTTAAATCTCTATGTAAGTAAGCAAGGGATATATATGTATAAGTAATCCTATTTTTAAAATTTTTGGTACATTATTTTTAGTCCCAAAATAAATATGAAGAATTATATTGGATAGAGTGGAATATTTATTAATTAATTTAGTTAGCTTTCTACATTTCTTCTATGTTCTGGGACATGAATCTAGTCTGAAAGCTTCCTGAAAACAATCATATGACTTCAGAATCTGTTTTTAATTTTTATTTTTTGAGAAAGTTCTTAATTTATATATATATATAAATATATATATATATATTCCAAGACTCACTGACCCCTTGCCCTGTCTTCCAGCCAGTTTATTTTTGTTTTTAAACCTTCATAATTATCTGTTATTTTAGATTATCAACCTGAGTTATTATTTTTTCTAAAGCATTATAAGTATATTTATTTCGTTTTCAAAAAATACTTTCTATATTTTTCTGTTATATTTTAATCTTCTCCATATAACAGACTTTTCTGAAGTTCTAATCTTGATTTTTCCATTCTCTCTATCTTTCTGTCTTTTTCTCTCTGTCTCTGTCTTTTTTGTGAGGTTTAGCATAGGGTTCTCTGTAAGTGTTTTTAAACCATTATTGTAACTCATGGAAAATTTTCTAAATGATGCTGTATAAATAATATCAACAGATAAGACAAGAAAAAAGTAAATTTTTCTAGAAAATAGAAGTTTAGAACTGCAAACTTTTAAAAGCAATTTTCTCAATTGTAAATTATTTTAGCATTAAAAAGAATAAAGCGTGGAGGTTTTTTTTAATCACTACCTGGAACATTATCAACAGAATATAAACTATTATCACAGTTATTGTTAGTATTATTACTACTATTTTGCTTTATAAAATAAACATAAGTAAAACCATCCCTTAAACCTCCATTATCTTCATATCTCGCACAGATCAAAAGCCAACATCCTTATTTGTTTACCACATCCTATACAATTAGCATCCCTTTAAATCTCTGAATGTGTCTTCCATTAATCTGACTCAGTTCATCCATACCTACTGGAGGTTCCTCAAACTCAACAAACATATGCGCAGTACAGGGTATTTCCATTACCAGTTTCACTGCCTGCTAAGTTCTTCCACACACAATGTATTCATGGCGCATGACTTCAAAAATTTCAGATCTCTACTCAGTGTCAACCCCAAAGTGAAGCTTTTCCTTACCTCCCAGTTTAAAATTTGCAACCCTCAGATCCCTACCCTTCTTGGCATAACATCTTTCTTTCCAGCTTTTCCTTACTCTACAGCAGTCAATGCTGTCTGTATTCCCTCACCAGAATGTAAAATATATATGTATAGGAATTTTTGTCTGTTTTGTTTTCTTGCTCTTAAAATAGTGATTGGCACAAAATAATAATTGTATTTTGAGTGAATGAATGAATTTCTAAACCTTCTTTTTGGTTGATCTTCTTGCTTGTACATAATTAGTGTGCATATTGAAAAGTAAGTGTTTCTAGAGGAAGACAAATATGGTTTCAAGATGTCTGGAATCTCAAACAAATTTAAAATAAATTGAAGATATTTAGAATTGGAAAGATTATATGGAATAGATGCAAATAATTGTCTTTTGTATACATTTACCCACACTAAGTACATAATATATGGTGAAAGGAAAAGTTATAGAAAAGTAGATTTGGGGTCAAACAATGTGTTTATTCATGCAGATAGAAATCTTTAGTAACATAATAAGATAACTGTCATTAGATGTATTCAAGCAAAGGGAGAATGACGTGTGTCATAAATGTTGCTGTCTGAAAATTGGGCTACATGGTCACTGAATTCCTTCCAACTCTTTTCTTTTAAACGAAATACAGTTCTTTTACCATTTTATATTATATTAGTTTCAGGTGTATAGCATAGTCATTCAGTATTTTTGCAGAATATACTGCATTAAATGTGTTACAAGATGATGGCTATAATTCCTTCTGCAATGTATACAATATATACATTGGTAGAAGTCTTACTATTTCCTGAGGAAGACTCCTACATCACTTAGAACAGAAAAGTTTTTCTACTATTTACAGAGGTGTGCTTGCCTGTAATATTATCTTTGGTCCTTGTCATGTCAGCATCATGCAGTCTTCTTCCTCTAGTGCCTAAATTACATTTATTTTTTCCCCCACTGCCCTTCTTCCTTTTCATGACAGTTTGCAAATCTCTTTGGTTTCAGAAGTCTAAAGAGTGAGATAATTCAATCTTCCTTATTCAACCACCCTCCTATCGTGTAGCATCTGTGCATTTTATATATATTTTTTTCTTCTGAATCACCCAAACTCACTCTGATGCCCAATGTTTTAAAATCTCTATCCATAACTGATCTTGCTCAGAATTACTGTACTGCATTGGTTAGTGAATTCTTTGGGGATTTTCCAAGCAAAGGAGAAAATTTCTTTGGGACTTTCCAGATAGATACCCCAAAGGTCTCTGATGAGAGAGGAGGTAAATTTAGCTTTGTTGAAACTAGATCTATATTTAGAATATATTTGAGAAGGGGGAGAAAACCTTAATAATTATCTTCCAATTTTAACAACTTTTCTCTAATGGAACATAGGAACTGTGTCTGATACTCACTGAAGTATAGACCTCCATTTATATCTGACTTCCCGGAGTGCTTCAATTCCAGCCTCAGCCTCAAAACTTTTGTCATAGCTTTAACTACATGCCATGTAAGGGGCCCAAAGCTTTCTCAAAAACATTGAGTGAACAATTTCAGGATCTTCTGGGCCAGAGGCTCATTAAAATACATTTTATGTACTAAGGAAGGTTGTATGTTTATTTGAAATATTGCACTCTTAAGTGCGTTGCTTTTCATTCCTGTTCCCCTCTACCTCACTAGAAGTACAGTATTCTTCAAAGTTGTAATTCCATTTAGTAGATCTTGATCAGATCTAAGGAAATTTAGAAGACTGGATGAAATATCATCCCTGGGCTTTGTAGAAGTGAGTGCAGACTAATGGAGGTTGAAAACAGCAAGAAGTGATCTGGTATAATGGTTCATCTTTCTTCTAGAACAGGCAGTGACAAGGGGCAGACACCCAGCAAATCAAGACTTTTCATTGGCAGGGAATGAACCCCCTTTCCAAAGCACATAAAACAAAATAAAACAAAACAAACTCCAATCACAAATCTTCTGCCCCAGAGTGAGAGTTTTCAATTACTAGAAATCTGGTGAAGTACATCTTCATTCCTGAGCAGAGAGCTACATTAAATGGAAAGCCTAGAGGCAAAACTTCCTTTTGAAATATGCTGAGTTACATTATTGATAGCATTAGGTAAAATGATTTCAATAAAATAAATAGTAGACTAGCAGATGGTAGATGTGCTTCAAGTCCTAGGCTCTGCTGAATCGTTCCTCAAGGTAGAAAATCTTTGAATGTCAATATACCTACTTAAAGTCTTTTTTTTTTTTTTTTGGCTTTTTGTCTGTTACTAGTTAAAGACTATATCAAGGAAGTATATGTGGTTATAAATATAATGAATATATTAATTTCTTATATTCTTATGATGTAAATGATGCATAGTGTGAAACTTTAAGCGAAGTCTGTTTATCCACATATGATTTATAACATGTACATTAGCAGGAAGGATTTGACAGTATGTACCAAGATGTCTAGTAAAGATGATTCTTCTATGTTTAAGAGTGGATTTAGAAGGAAAGAAATGGATAGGACTTCCAACTGATAAGAGGAAACCAGAAAATTCTTTGTTTTTTTTCTCATCATATAACTGAACACAGGTTTAATTTTAGGTAAATGAGATGAAACTCCTAGAAGAAAACATAGGGAAAAATGCACCTTGACATTACTTGCCAGTAATACTTTGAATATGGCATCAAAAACACGTTCACGTTCTAAATGTATATGAAATCACCAAATTATATGCTTTAAAATGTACACTTTTATTTGTCAATTATACGTCAATAAATCTGGAAAAAATAAACAGTAAAATAAATAACTGATAATATAATTTACTTTGAAATACAACAGAGCACCAAGAGCCTGCCCAATACTTTTAGAGCAGTAAAAGCAAATGAACAAATGGCTGCAGAGCACACAACTGTAGCAAAAACACCATAATTTAGTCATTCTCTTGTTGATGAAACAGTATGTGCTTTGTATTTTTGTAGTTTTGGTTTTTTGAGTGTGTAAATTTTCATGTTGCTTTTTGAAGAGGGAGAATGTAAGTTGATTACTTTATCTACAGAATATCAAGGTACATAGTAAAATTATAGTAATAAAG